AGCACATGGTCATTGTAGGAGGGTATCTAAAATAATGACCGAGGGCACTATTGCTGTCAGAGGGTATCTAAAAAATTTGCTCAAGGATGTTCTCGTCTGCACGAGGATACTTGAAAAAACTCATAGACTAACTGACCCTGATCAAATAATTTGAAATTCTATGTGAACTGCAGGACAATCTGTAACTTGAATATGGCATGATTATCAGCAACATCGGTGGTGTAGGCATTTAAGAAAATCCATAAGAATATTGGCACGGGTGGACTTCATTCTGACACTGAATTCTTATAATTAATGCACTTCATTTTCTCCAGTCTGAGAACAAAAGAGGCAATTAAAAAATCAAGATCATGGATTAGCTGATTTTATTAAAGAGGAAAAGAGCAAAACATTAAAGCATGGTGATGGGCTTGCATAAAATTCATATATAATTATGGGAGAAAAGCTAGTCCCATCATCTGATGAAGTCCTACTAAAAGTGGTACTCAGAACTTTCCAAATATGACAATTATTATTAAACAATTTGATTAACCTGTATTGTAATTATATTAGACTCTTGGACACCTAATAGACTTATAATTGGACTTTAGAGACTTCCTAATAGCTATTAGAAATCAATACAAAAATCAGTTCAGAGACCACTAATTAGAATTGTCTATTCTATTCTGCTTGAAGGATGGATATATGCTTTTTGAAGCTCTCCTCTCCCAGCTTGAATAAGAGGAACTTCTATTAAGATTTATGATTCAAACTGTCAGCTGGAAAATGTTGAATTCTTATTTCGAAAGATAAGCTGTCTTTTTTAGGAACACTTCTTTAGTCAGGAAATTCTTATCCAGGCTGTCCCGGGTTTTAACTTACAACTCCATCCAAGTTGTATTCAGAACCTACTCTCCTAGGTTTTGTTGGAGTCTTAGAGGCCCTTAAAGGATTTGGTTTTCCTTGCAGGATTTGGTTCACCCCTAATAAGGAATGACTACGGTGGTTGTAGCCTTGTTGGTCAGCATAAACCCATGGAAGTTCAGGGCTGGTTTAGTATGAGTCGTAGAGGTTTCATCTCAACAATGGGTTCACTAAATAACATTTTCCAATTCTACCTTGTTTTTTCTTTTGAAGTTTTTGGGTGTGGAAATTGTCATGTATTATTTAAGGCACTCCCGACTATAGTTGATGCGAACCTGGTTTCCAACAAATACAACTTTTATCTGAAAACTGTGAAAAACTGTTATATAAATTGATTCAATTCACTTTCAGCTAGTGGGTACTAACAGGCATAACTTTCTTTTGGCTCCTAATGTTATCTTTCTTCCTTGACACCCTACAAACTGTCATATTTTAATCCCAAATTTTAGTCAGCATCTGTTTATTTATTTTTCAGCCATTTTGTTACTTCCAACTTTCTGTGCTGCATAATCATATCTGAAAAATTAACTTGAGTCACGCTTATAGAACGGGCAAGCCATCTACAACAGGTGTTTTGGTGTGATGAAGTTGAAGATTATATTATATTTACTTGAATTAATAAATGAAATTAAATATGCTTTCTTCTTATATCCTAATTAATGGGTGTGGTATTTGTTCTTCTTCTTTTTTTTATGAACTTCTCTCAATTTGTTATTTTTGATTTTAGATTTATATTCCTCCACTGCCATACTTGGGTTTAAGGGTCTGATCTTTTGCGTGCAATGTAAGGCTGTGTCTATGTAGCTGGCTCAGAAAAAAGCCTGTTGCTCTAGGCTGCCTTTTTTTACCGGATCTTTTCACACATTATTTTGACTTAAGTGCAGCATATATCAATTTTATGGTAATTAGCTTGATATTTAGATCCTGGGAGGCTATTTGTCATAGTGCAGTCATCAATAAAAATTATTTGAAAAGATGTTAGTTTCTTGGTTATTTTGCTTTATTTCTCCTTCAGTGACCATTATTTCTTTTGATTTTCTAATTTAGCTTATTTCAGGATGAAGAATGCAAGTAAAAAAGCTTAGATACCATGACTAAGTTGCCATCTGGCTAGAACCTTTTATTATTTGGCATTCTGTATGATAATGTTGCATTGTTCTTCCATACAGATTGAGATTGCCAACTAGAACCCGACCTGTTTAAAAGGTATATATCAATTTGGACCGCAAATGCTAGCCTTTCATGCCATCCATTTCACCCGACTTGTTGGCTCATTCAGATTGACCATATCAGTTAGTCGTTAGTACCAACCAGCAATCACTTATCAGCATATCGAACTTTTCAAACAATCTTATGCGTGTAGTTGCTGAATGTTGTCCATACTAAGAATGTTGATTTTCTTGAACATCATATTCAGGATTAATTATCTGATATAGTTGATGTAAATAAAATTAATTATTACATCTGTTCTTCTATGTGATGGGATAATCTGGGTTATGTGAACCAGATTATCGGACCATCCATTTCATAGGATGTCTCTGTTTTGCGATGAGAGAGGAGATTTATGGTGCTTCTCAGTGTCTTATTGGTTCCTTTACCCTCACTTGCATAGGACATTTAGGTAGTAGTTTTAGATGATAAATATTTTCTGGATACTTCTGGGTTACCTAGATCTTAAAGCAGTTCCCTTGGGTCTATCATATTCATGATGAGCAGTGACCCATTAAAAATGGACTAACGACTGATAGACTTTCTGTTGTTGATATTATAGCTGGAACATTCAACTGCTGCTAGCAGATCTCATTGATTTGTTCCTTTTTTATTGTAGTTCTCATTTCTCTCATACTATTTTTGGTGCATTATTTTGTGAAAATTAGTCTGTTGCTGAACAAATTAGGGTTGATATCTAATTACTTAATATGACCTAAAAGTTCATAATGATTGTAATAAGCATTAATAGATAAGTGTTTGTCATGAATGAATGCATGTTTTCATGTACATACTTTGTCCTAATTATTGACATAAGAAACTGTTGATCAAAGTCTCCCTTTGCAAGCTATTTACTTCTCTTTTCAGTTTGTGTTAAAATATCCAAAGCCATGAGTGAAAGTGATGAAATTAGTTTGGTTAATTGTTAATTCTTGCCATATTTTTGATGAAATAACCAAAAGCTTTTAGAAGTTTGCAGGTGCCCTTTGATATTGAGCAAAACAAAGACAGAGGAGAACTTAAGCTATAGGGGATAGGGCAATGTGAAATAGCTGGACTATCTTTTTGACAAGATGGACTTTAATTTAGACCAAGGTTTGCTGTTTTTGGTACCGGACCTGTCTTGACGATCCGGTGGACCGTTATGTACTGGTGTACTGACATATGGTGTGTCGGTATGTGTCGATGTTTTGGTGAGAAGAAACAAAGGAAGAATACGAAGGGGTGGTGGAGGAATAGAGGAGCAAGGAGGAAGGAAAAAGGAAGAAGAGAAAATAGTGGAGAAGGAAAAAGAAGAAGAAAGAAGAGTAGGAGAAGCAGCAACAGCAGGGGCGGTGGCATTGTATGCAAGAAGAGGGCTCTAATTTGGGTTTTTTTTAAATGCTGAGTTGGATGAGGCCCGACTACTCGTCTAATTTTTTTTATTATTTTAATCGAACTGCCTGAAACGGGGGTTGGTCCCTGTATCAGCCAATGCCCAGACCAGTGTGTACCTCCCATACTGTACAATTCCGAGTGGTACAGCTGTCTTTATTTAGACATCCTAGCTTGCTAACAAAGAAATTGTATGCTTTCTCCATCAACTTTAATAAAAAAAATAGTGTGTTTCAGAAAATTGGACAGTTAGTAACATACCCAAAAGATTAGAGTTATGGATATTGAGATGGATGTCTGGCATCATATAGAATCAAACTGAGTGCTTTTAGTCATCAAAAGTTAAGGGTGATATCAATTTTGGAGGAACTGAGGAAAATTGGTTAAGATGGTTTGAATGTCTTAATATTTCTCAGTATACTGATAAGGCAAGGTGAATTTACAAAGCCTGGTGGGGCCAAAGGAGAGGAAATAAAGACAAATGATGATTGTTAAAACTGATAAAAAAATGAGTTGAAGTGGCTCCAATTAAGCGGCATGTTTCTGTTAATGGAGCTCAATGGTGGGAAACGGCCCATGTAGCCTGTCCAGATAGCTAGGAACTACAATGAGATATTGCAGTATACACCCACTTTAATTTTATTTGTTAGTCCACCAAACTTCAAGCTTGTTATTTCAAAAATCAGAACACTGTTGAATTTTGTAATAAATTTCTTTAAATCTAATGGACTCTGAGTAACTATTGTCATATAAAGTGGTTGCAGTCTTTATCAATCAATTTATTTCCTCTTTGTTATTTCTCTTCTTTTTTCCCATTCGAAGGCATCCTTTTTCAAGTCCACTATCACCATGGTGATACGTCTGGTGCCAACTGCTAGTTGTGTACAAATATGATAGCTTCTTTATCTGCAATATAATACATTAATTAAGCTCAATAATAATTGTTTTAAGAAGCTTCTTCTGCTTGTGTCTTCCTTTTTACCTACTAACCCATATAGTGACCCCTATATTGATTGCCAACTGAAAAATGCCATTTGACGAGGTTAGCATGCTTACATCAAAGAATTGACATGGTTTTCTGAACTATTGATCTAAGTAGCATGATTATCGCGCCACCAGATCAACTTTTGAAACATGGTTGGACCAGCCAGGACAGGACAGGACAATAATGTTAGTCATGTCTAATTGAGATTTACTGGCTGGAACATCTTTTGCTGAACTGGCAGTTCAAGTTGATGCCTTTGTGCACGGTGTTGAAATCCTTTGTATCATCTATCATCTAGAAACAATAATGTTAGCCTTTGTGCACGGTATCATTTTACTTGTATTTCATTATCCAAAGTGATGATATATTCACTCTGTCAGCTAGATTTGTCCTTTTCGTAGTATTGTAATTATGTATTGAATGACAAAGCTACAGTGCATGATATCATCGTACTTGCATTTTATCTATCAAAGCTTTTTTCTCAAATTATTACTTAGATTTTAATTATGACATTGGCTTTGCATTTCAGGATTTAACTCTTCTACTTCTTACCTCTGGTAGAGATCCGGGTATAGTGCCTCGTAATGCACATCCTCCAGAACCTGAAATTTATGAGGGCAATAATGAAGTTGGAGGTGTCCAAACTCCACAATTACGGTTGCCCCGAACAAAGGATGTAAACGTGAATGGGGTTACTGTAAAGGTGAAATACTGTGACACTTGCATGCTTTATCGGCCTCCTCGTTGCTCGCACTGCTCAATCTGCAATAACTGTGTGGAACGTTTTGACCATCACTGTCCATGGGTTGGGCAATGCATTGGGCTTGTAAGTTGCCAATCCTCATACAATTGTCGTAGTTGTTTTCTATGTTGGTGTGCACTAACTGAATTTGCAAATGAATATGCCTAACGACTAATGAAATCCTGGAACCGTATCCGATATTCCTCTGCTAGCTAAATATTAGTATGAAATATTGTTATGAGTTTCTTGTCACAATGATGGCTCTTGATGAAAGACAGTTCTATTGGGACAAACTTTTTTTTCTGGCTGTCGCTGATGCCTGTTATCATTGATGCAGCGGAACTATCGATTCTTCTATATGTTTGTCTTCTCAACGACTTTGCTATGCCTCTATGTCTTTGGATTTTGCTGGGTTTGTATAGTGAAAATAAAAAATGCTGAACAAATATCTATTTGGAGAGCAATGACCAAGACTCCAGCTTCCATTGTTCTCATAATCTACACTTTTATATCAGTTTGGTTTGTCGGAGGCCTCTCTATCTTCCATTTATATCTAATGAGCACCAACCAGGTAATACTCCCAGTGACTGCTTATTGAAAGTTCAGTTTAGTATCTTCCCATGATATTAATCGACCAGTTTTCTCTTTTTCTTTGATAGACAACTTATGAAAACTTCAGATACCGTTACGATCGGAGAGCTAACCCATATAACAGAGGAGTGGTGGAGAATTTCAAAGAGATCTTTTTTACAAGCATCGCTCCGTCAAAGAACAAATTCCGGGCAAGGGTGCCACGAGAACAAGGATTTCAACCACGTTCATCAGGTGGAGGTTTTATGAGTCCAAACATGGGCAAAGCAGTGGGTGACATAGAGATGGGTAGAAAGCCTGTGACATGGGATGAATTAAGAGCAGTCACACAGGTTGGTGATCTGGAAGAAGGTCTAAGCAATAGAAACATAGCGGATGACAAGGATGGTGAGCTTGGTGAAGTTTCTCCGGATTTAAGCAGGGAGGTTCTGGCATCGGGGAGCGTGGAAGTGCAAGCTACGACACACCATAGGCTCTCAAGTTGGGGAAGAGGTCGGAGCTGGGAGACAACGCCTGAGGTTCAAGCTGTAGCAGCTGCGGTAGGGGAAACAAGTAGGATGGGCAGCGGCAGTGGAAGCAGCATCATGGCTCCAGGAAACTTGTGAGGTGTTCAGATAGTGGCAAGATCTTGAAGGCAGGGATTTTATAGATTTAGGATGTGCATTAGGAACCGTCTGGTGTTTGTTAATGTGATTTCTTTTGTGAGCCATCTGGTGGGGTTGGGTAATATATATTTCGAGATGACTGCCCTATGCTAATCTGGTCCTTTTGATCTCTTCTAACTTCCTCGTTCCCTCTGTTTCTTAACTTCTGCTGCGGTATCGTCATCATCTTAGTTTGACATTTGAAGATATTGGTTGAGGGCTGAACCTGCTTTGCTTGGCGTGTGTAAATATTTGTGTTTTGTGATTTCAGAAAACTTCTGTATTCACTAAGTCCTACCTCGATAATTTTATTATGTTTTTAAGGGATTTATATGTCATGTGTCTCTTTATGTTGTTATTTCCTCAAATGGGATGATTACAGAAACACTGATGAACTATCTTATTAGAACTTGTCATCTATAAACTACTGATATGTTTAAGCGTTGAAGGTTGGATTTCGAATTTCAGATTTTTGCTGGTTTTTTTTTGTTCTTTTGAGGATATCAAAGTTCTTGATGTTTGTTTAGAGTCACATTCTTTGATGAAGCACTTTGCATGTGGTTATAATACTTGTGATTTGGTTTACAGATTACCTTCTCTTAGGGTTTGAGATAAATAAGGCTGCACTGTGCATGAGAATATATTTATATTTTTAATATGTATTTAAAGAAAGGGGCATATTAGAGAATACATGTATATTTGTAATGTATATTTAAAAAATGGGGTTTGGGGAAATGCATAGTTGTAAACAAATGCTTTTGAGTGTTTGATAAATAATGTTTGAAGAAAGGGGATTATATATAAAATTTAAAATAAATAAATAAATTTTTTACTTTATAAAAGATATAAGTCCGATAGAACAAACGATCGAGCGAGCGATACGGGAAGACAAAATGATGAGTATGATTTGTATTATGCGATACGGGAAGAGAAAATGACGAGTATGATTTGTATTATATAATGATATCATAAGGTATCTTTAAAATTTTTTTAAGAAATCATTAGAATCTTACAAATGTTGAAATACCCAAAGGTAGCATCTATCATCATTTGAGCCAAACCAAATGTAATTTAAAAAATATCGAATATTAATTCATATTAAAAAATGTAATCTAAAATACACCAAATGTAGTGGTAGATCATTAATTGCTAGATAAAGAATTATTTGTATTTAAACTTATTAGCAACAATGCTTTCTGTTTGATGAGCTTCACTCACTTCAACATGTTGGATCCAAAATATATTGTTCATCCATTTTCATAAAGATCAAACGCTTAAAGTAGATTGTAGTGTGTTGGACTTTTTTTGTTTTTTTGGGGTTATATTTTCTTATGGAATTTGTAATTATTCTCTTTGCAACTCATGGGAAGATGAGAACACTCGGTACATTATGATGGTAAGAATGACTACTTGTGCAACTAAAATTGTGTGCATAAACAACAGTACAATTGATTTTGTTGGATTTGAAAACAAAAACACAAAGAAATCATATTAAAGAAAATCATGTAATCTTATATTAAAGAAAATATATATTAAAGAAAATCATCATTATGCTTAAAGTTTTATATTGTTTTGGTGAATCTCCATCCTACCCATTTCATTGTTCATTTGCTGTTTATTTTTATTGTTCATTTTGTGGTCAATCACATGCATCCTTAGACAATAATATGCTACTTAAGGTCTTATATATGTCTTCCAAAGTGTCTTCTCTCTCTATAGTAGATTAAAATGCTAAGAATGGAATACATCCAAGTAATGAAATAGTTATACCACAATCTTGGAAGGAGATAATATTGATTAATATTGATTATTTGAGTATTTTTTTTTTATAATTTTAAGATAATTAATTATCAAATTTAATATTTTTTCGATAAATTTTATGAACAAGAGTATTTTGATTCGTTTTCGAGTCATAGTAATAGTATCAACTTCGATCAAACCATTTTAAACTTTCATAATTATATTAGAATACAGTCGCAATAACGATTGTATTGACTTTTCTATCATACGTGTATCGAGGATAATTATAATTTCGCTACCAAATGTCTAAACTTTTACAATTTCGCTAGAACTTGATTCCAATAAGGATTTGCTAAAGTTTATTTTTTTAAATAATTGTAGCATAATTAAATATCAAATTGGCACGTTTTTGAATAGGTTGAGTCTCTTTCAATTCATTTTGGAGTGTAACGAGGCCTATTTCAACCAAACCAATGCAAACTTTCATAATTTTAATAAAATATTATTCCAACAATGATTGTATTAGTTATTTTTATTTTATTTTATGATGAATATAAAATTATTACCTTTTGGGTGGGTTTCTCGACTTGTATTTTAGTTTATTTTCAAGTGTAATAACGCAGACTCTCATTAAACAACATCAAACTTTCATAACTCCACTAGAATAAGATTCTAACATTATTTATATTTTTCTAAACAATTTTAAGATAATTAATTATCAAATTGAGCATGTTTTTGGTAGTTTCTTCTAATGAATGCATTTAAATTTACTTTCGGGTATTATAAATTCAAACTTTGACCAAACCATCTCAAACTTTTATAATTCTATCAAGAATCATAGTTTAAGGAGGATTGTATTGGTTTTTTTTTTTATTTTATGATAAATTTGGGATAACTAGTTGTCAAATTTGTCTTCTTTTTTTTTGTTAGGTTATGAGAAACAAATATATTTTAGTTCATTTTGAAGTGTAACATGATCAACTTTCAATAAACAACCTTGAACTTTTACAATTCCATTAAAACAAGATTCTAGTAATGATTTTGGTTATTATTATTATTATTTATAATTTTAGGATAATTAATTATCAAATTTAATGTGTTTTAAGTAAGTACATGAACAAATGTATTTTAATTCATTTCAAGCTTGACTTATCAGCTTCAATCAAACTATCTCAAACTTTCATAATTCTACTAGATAATGATTCTAATAAAGATTATATTAGTTTTTTTTTTTTTTTTATATTTTATGATAAATTTTAATTATCAATTTTATCATTTTTTTTTGTTATGTTATGTTTTGTGAACAAGTATATTTTAGTTCATTTTCGAGTATAATAAGGTCAACTTCCTTTCATATTCTGCTGGTATGAAAATTAATAATTAAATTTGGATTATTTTTGAATAGATTCTGTGAACGAGTTTAATTTAATTTAATTTTTCAATGTAATGAGTCAACTTCGATTAAACCATCTCAAACTTTCATAATTCTATCGTAACGTACTCGTAAAAGGTATCGTAATTCTTTTTAAATTTATAATAAAATTTAGATTTTTTTTGTATCAATATTGGTATGTTTTTTAAAAGGTTATATAAAGGAATAGATTTCAATTTAATTTTAAGTGTAACAGAGAAATTTCATAACTTTAAGAAGATGAGGAGGGAGAGAGGGGAAGAAGAAAGAAGGCAAAGGAGGAGGAGCATTTAGAAAGTTCATTATTCCAAACTGATTCAAATAATTAAAAGAAATATTATTATTATTGAGATTAGGGATCAAAATTAAAATTTAGAAAAAGATCTTAATATCATATACATTCTATAACAAAATTTATAATAACAAATATGTTACTTTCAAACCTTATGACATGCATAAACATGAAAAACCTTAATATCGAGCAGTGCATGATGCCTGACACTCGATTTCACATTCTTTTATTTGATTGTCATCTGATCACAGTCGATGCAGGGAGTGTTAATGATCGACAAGTTTAGGCAGTGTAGTACAGAATCTTTCAACTCTGTGGATTCATGGGTCAAACCAAGACTCGTTGGCCATCCGAATCTTTATCCTCCTTCTCCAATGAAACAGCTATAACGTAAAGCGTGAGTCGCGTGCGTGATCGCTTACGTCCGCTTCCTCGTTCGATCCGTCGATCCGTCGATAAAGCAAGCGTGTGTTACGTTGAAAACTATCTAGGAAAATTATTATAGCGAAATAATTTTTTTCCTCTTTATATATGAAAATAATTTTTCATCAAAATATCAACTTGTTATTAAAAATAAATATTAATCAGAGCAACATAAATAGTAGAACAATGAATCGATAACATAGTGAGACATCGAATTTTTATGTAAAAAACTCAATACGAGAAAAAAAATCATAGGATCGTAGTCCACTTCAAATCTTTATTATCGTCGATGATGATAATAGGTTTACAATAAGTCTTTTTCATAACAATCAGAGGATCACAATAACAACAAAAATACAAATCCTGGCTTAACAATAACATCATTATCATATTTTATCATAGGAAAGATTTATGTCTCATCAAGTAGATATATCAGAAAAGCACCTTAGAGAGGACAAATTGTAGATCGACACCATTAAAATTGTAGAGCTTATTACAAGAATTCTCCAAATAAAATTTGGGTCAAAGCCGACGAAGTTTAACCATTTTATCGTTTAACAAAAGTCTCAGAACCCTAACTTTCTCTCTTCTCTCTCTCTATTTTGTTTCCTGCTCGGTTCGTTTTCCGTTTGCCCACTTCTCACGCCACGCACAACCCCACTTCTTTTTTTCTTCCTTTTTTTTTTAAATAATTGATTAGATTTGGGCTCAATGCCTCTATTATCCCCTCTAAGACCCAATAATTCTCCCCCTCCAACTCATATAATGGGTTATAATAAGCCTACTCTTCGTCTATATGCTTCAAGCTTCTCCTTAGGTAAATATTTTATCAACATGTCTAATTCATTCTTATTGGTATGCATCTTTTCTAAGTACAATTCTTTCATCTCAAGCACATCATCAATCCAGTAATATCTTACATCAATATGCTTGGATCTAAAATTGTATATTGAATTCTTAAAGAGGTGAATAACATTCTGACTATCACAGTAAACAGTATATCTTTCTTGTTTCAAGCTTAATTCTTATAGAAATTTTTTTATTCACAAAGCTTCTTTGCAGACTTCGGTAATTACTATGTATTTTGCTTTTGTGGTTGATAAAGCAATACAATTCTGTAACTTAGATTGCCAAAAGATTGCTTCCCTTGTAAACATCATCAAGAACCCTGAAGTGGACTTCTTGGAATTAGTATTACTTGCCATGTCTTGTACGCCTCTAACACAGGTTTACCACTATCAAAATATAAACACAACTTGGAAGCACCTCTTAGATATCTTAATATTCATTTCATTACTGCCTAATGTTTCTTACCAGGATTAGAGAGAAATCGACTGACAACTCCAACTGCATGAGCTATATCTAGCCTAGTATAAACTATAGCATACATCAAACTATCTACCGCAGATGAGTAAGACACTCTGAACATTTCTTCTTTTTCTTTCTCACTTATAGGATATTGTTTCGAACTAAGCTTGAAATGACCTACAAATGAAGAATAAACTACTTTGACTTTACTCATGTTGAATCCTTCAAAAATCTT